ATCGGTATGTGAACGCCTTAAATCGTCAGCAAGAACTGTGCCTCAAGCTTGGACACCCAGCATCAAATCCCGTGTCTTTTTGGATGGTAACGACCATCCCTTTACAAATGAGAAATCTTTTCAGAAATCTTGTCGTGTCGAAGACTGAATAGCATGCAGGGTGTCATCTTGATATCTGTGACCTTTCTGACAAGTGTGGGGAGAGAACTGTCCCTTGCCGTTCATTCCGAGTGCATGCCACATTATACCATTTGAGAGCTTGCATACCTTGCTTAACCCAATTCGAGTGGCCTTTGAGGTTGCTTACTGGAACTGGCTTAAATCTCCATGGCGTGTCGTTTCACTACGAATCCTTGCCCCAGAATCTTCGTGGACTTCTGGTGCGGTCTGCGCGAGTCCTTTCATGTTCTCAGCGATGCGAAACAGGACTTCCATGCTTGGCATAGTTGACATGATCATTCAGTATCGTCAGCTAACGGTAACATTGCCGAGCAAACGATCTAAGATGGAACAACCCATCACATCTCGATTAGCGCGGACGAATGCGAAGAGGTATTTCCATCATCTCAAGGTACTTCACCAGAGGGCATTTGTGTGGGCAGGATTCTGCCGTTCAGCATCGGTGTTGAATTCGTCAGTTTTCTTCTGACATATTTCGTACGGTCGAGGAGTTCGTGGAATTCAGCCACAGCATTCAACAGGCATTCGCGTGTTCTCGGGCGCGTTCTCGTACCATTTTCTTAGACAATGCTGACTACTGCTGATCGATGCCACAACCAGACTCCTGATGGAGTTCAGGATTTTGCCTGTTGGATCCAATCACAGAAGCTTCAAACTTGATTCCGACTAAGTGCTTCATGGCCCAGATCATGTCCCTGAATTAGCCTTGTAATAATGTTTTCCACATCGCCATCATTGGAGCTTGTGCCAGCCATTCTGTCCAAATATTGCATGACGTCAACCCACACATTCTATCTAGGCCGCACTTTCATTTGCTGACCAAATGAATCAATGACCTTAATAGCGATAAAAAATATTATTATTGCTTTGTGGGCATTAGCTGTCGGCACTTGTTACTAACCCAATTTTTACACCAAAGCAAGAAACAATGTAAAACGATATTGGTTACACATTTCTCCTGGCCTAGATTAGATCGCGACAGCGACATGGAATGCTTAAGGCCGCCGGCACACCAGCGATTTTTACAATGCGATGAAGCGATGAAGCGATGGTAGGTGCTGCCGCGTTCTAGTTGTTAGACGATTTCTATTTTGATCGGGTGATCGTTCCACAATCAAACATGTTTGCATCTTTGCAACCGAGTGAGCGCATTGAACGCGATGGCCGATTTTCAAGGCCGCGCCACACCATACATCGCCTTCAGCGCTTCATCGCTTCATCGCTCGTTCATCGCTTCATTGCAATTCATCGGTTGTAAATCGCGCTGGCCTGTGCCGGCGGCCTTTAGATGGAGCGCACTTAGAAAAATTCTTAGATGGAGCCGCTTATTGGTTACTACTATATTTTTCACATTGCATTGTGTTTTCGGTGTTGTGACGTTGGCACACACACAGCACACACACACACACACACACACCACACACCACACACACACACACAACACACACACACACACACACACACACATGCACACACCACACACACACGAAATTTCCGCAATTTATAGAATAAGATACTACTTAAGCGGCTTTGGGAATTGAAGCACTTGAATCATTCCTGCTATTGTCAAATCTAAAATTCGTAAAGGGAAGCAATCATCTCAAAGAAGTATTATATAATATCACAAAAACAGCAACCCTTTTAAGGAGAATTTGCATTTATTTTTTTCGTCGAGATTTCTTCACATTTACGCTATTCATTTTAGATGTTAACACTTATAACTCAGTCTAAATATTAAATATTCGATTAAAATCAATGTTATATGAAAGTACAGACAAAATTACAAAAATATATAAAATTTTGACCTTCAGTTGACCTTTTGCCCCCCTCAATTTGACCTTCAAGGGTCAAATGCCAGTTGCACCGGGTGATTCTGAACAGCCTGGGAACATCAGTGGATAACTGTCTAGCCTGGTTGCCAGCTTTTAACAAAAAATGCCTTCAAAAGTTTTTTGATAGCATATTTCCTGGTTGGACTGCTGACTAGGTGACGGCGGGCGTGAAGGGATGGGGGACAGAAGTGGATTCGGAGGCGGCGTTCGGCAGTGGGGAGCGGAGGTTTAGGAGCCGATATCTCTCCGCCTTAGGAGTATCGTATTGACAACTGCGCGGTTGCGTCTTGCTTTTAGAGAGCAAAGAATTCTGCCTTAATGCCAATACATGACAATTTATTACCCGACTCGCAGGGCAAAGTAGATAATGTTGTCGGTGAAATAGCCACTATTTCCCGTGTTTCCGCTTGTACACTCCTTGTATTATTAGCTCTTGTAATATGGTGTAATGACAAAAAGTTATTATAAGAGCATGTACGAATGGGTTTGGCCTTTTCATTTCAAAAACCCTCTTGACTAAACAAGTTTTTCGTGTTATTCTCGGTGGAAATATGCTAGCAGATTCCTGGCTTCTCCAACTTCTTGAGCTCCCCAACGTACGCTAGTCCATTGTGAGATCGTACAATGAATAAAGGAAATTCCATATATCAGTTACAGTGCCTCGAAATAATTTAAAAAATGTGCGTTGTCGCTGCGGACAACCAGGCCATCAAATCGGTGTTGTCCCGCAAACAATTTACTGGTTGTCCCAAAAAATATCCCCAACATCTCCTATTTTCAATCACATAATATATTAATGCGTTCAGAAAACACCCCCTAAACACATTGGTTGTAGCCAGCGATTTTTTACCAAGCGCGGTGCGCCAATAAACAGCAAAACTGCCCGCATAAATAGTGGATGGACTTAATTTTAATGGCTCCTCTCCGCCTCCCTCTCACATTCATACGGCTCTCTACCTTTTCGGCAATCTTTGTTTTGGGTTGCCCATGGTGAAAGGCGACATTTTTGTTCATTGTTCTCTGTTCCAAGATAGTGTAATTGCGTTCAGTGGCGGGTCTGGGATTTCAAGGAGGGGGTGAAAAACAAGCGTTGCGGCGGTATGGTTCCTTCCCCAATACATTTTGAAAATGTAGATCTGCAGCGAGATGGTGATTGTGCAGCACCTTTGAGATACCCATGTACAGCCTTCCACTTCTGACTTATCGACAATTCTCTTTTTTTTACTTTCGGGATATCAACATGATCCCATTGCATAGCTGTTGTTTCGTTTTGCATGGAGCAAAACGCCATCGGCAACAATTTCAAAATAATAAGGGAATAAAAACTACCCAAAATGTATGGGGGTGAACCTTGCTGGTTTGCTTGCTGGTTCAATCGAGTTACCTCTCCATAACATCAGAAAAAACCTGACATATACAGGGATGAGATTCATTCCGCGGTATCGCGGAAATTCCCGCGGTTTGGACAGTCCAGGGAGTCGGATTTCTTGCTGTGAACGTCTACATTCGTTAGAAACTGGTGAGGGGGGTACAATGTAACAACACTTTAAATCTTATACCTCAACAGCGCCTGCACTGTAGACTGTAGCGGCTACGACAGTCAGCGCGACAGCTCGAAGTATACAGCTGTCACATCTGTTTTTGACGTGCTACAGAAAAGAAACATCTCGTTCACAGCTGAGTAGCAGGGTGAGAATTTGCACGGTAGCTGACTCAGTAACCAACCATGCCTGGCCTGGCGGGGTCCGGTTAACTGTTCGCTGCGTGATGTTGTGTGCCATGACATGCACCTGATTGTTCCCATTCGCATGTGTTGTTTGTTCATTAAATCTGGTCGCAGGCAAGGCAGCTTATGTCTGATGTAAAACACTGCAACGCGACGGCGGTCGGAAACAGAAAATATATTCTGTCTAGACACTTGATTAAAAAAAAGCCTGCTATTTTCGAGCCCCTGATTTTCTATTATAGTTGGTTTGTACTTTTGACAACTTGAAAAGGTGATTCAAGAGTCTCCTATAATTTGTTCAGAATAGCTTAGAATGCCACCAAACTCTGCCATTCTTTTAAAAAATCTCGGGGCGAACATGGCCCCCGGACCTAGCAGGCGATCACTTCACGGTCCGCGCATTTGCTCGCTCCTCTCTGCTTTGCTAACTTAACAAATTTCAGCTGAAAATTAAATTATCATCTCATCCTCTCGATATACAGTGTGGAAATAGCAGCTCGGTATGCGGCCTCGCGTTTTCCCACACCATAGATTATTGCGGCGTGCAGGCATAGGTCTTGGAGAACGCCCTGCAGAACACATAATAAAGTGCGTTGTTTTCAGACTTTTTTCTTGGTCTGTCACCGGACAATGTCTCAGGACTGGTTAGGTGGTCCGGCCACAAACTTGTGGTTGTCTCGGGACAAACCGGCGACAACGCTCTACTTTCGCAGCACTGGCTATAGATAAGACAGGCCTATAAAGACATAGTTACACTGGTACTGGGACAACATAGTACCCGGGACACATCAGGAATGGACCGGGCAGCGAGTGGGGTCTGTGTCTACCTGGATATTGCTAGTGCTGACTTGGGCCGGCAACCATGCCACATGAAATTAAGAACATCTTTTCTAACTGGATGAGAAAATGCATACGCTCTCTCGAAGGTACAATGCATCTGAAGATCGTGCATTGAACTCAACTCCTCAAACTCGAGGTGAGTACTGAGTAGTACCTCTGACACTGGCTCCTGGTTGTGCTCTGTTTTAAGCCGGCGGCCACACCCGTCGGCGATTCTTCGTCGGACACGAACCGGGCGCATGTCTGTCGCCAGGCAACAAATCGCCGAGAAAATCGCACGTCTGTGCGCTGCCGCGCGTCACGATTTTCGACGCCAGAAACTCGCGCTGTGAATATCAAACCAGTTTGATATTTCTGTTGCAGTGCTGAAAATCGCTACGTGCTGCTGTGCCACTGGCGATTGGATCCCGACACAGTTTTGGCGCACTTAACCAATCATGAATGATTTTGAAGCTCGTGATCAAATATGGCAGGCCCGTTAGGGTGTGGTTTGAACATGTCACGTTACAGTCTCATACAGTGGTATGTCGCCTCAAATAGGACGGTTGTTTGACATTGTCGCGCGGCTGGCCAGCATCGTGGCGATTTTATCGCACAGTACCAGCCGATAAAAATCGACGGGTACTGTCGATAAAAATCGCCACGTAGTGCGCCGGGCTTCTAGTAGATTGGTTTCCGGTTTCCATACCAGCAGCTGATGAAGTCGAGGGAAAGAATAGTCATTCGGATTTTTCTTGTGTTCGTCAGCACTGTACAGTGAGTGCTGACATTTGTCCTCGAAGTTTGACGAATTCCACGGAATGTTTTCGGCGAGTTCCGCGACTTGACAGATTTTTTTCGTCTAGGAAACCACTCTCCCGGCCGTATAGGAAATTCGCCTCTGTGAAAATTGCATCCAGATCGCGTTGGGCGCGTTTGGTCGCCCATTAGGGTACGATACATTCACATACATACATAACACTACGACATACAACATACAAACTCAGACATTGAGAATTAAGATTATATTAGCCGCTATTTAGTATTTTATCTCAAGCCAGCCAGGTGCGAGAAAGCTCAAGCACCTAGCTGCTAATTACGTTAATACATTGCGTCTTTTATAGCGGGAATCTTTCAACTCATTCAGCGCAAACAACATTTTCCACTGATTTTCAGTTTGTGTTACTTTACGTTACCACATTTAGCTCTACGGCGTGTATACTCCCCTTCGGCTCCCATACAGGTACTGGGAGTGAAGGGACTATACCCGCATAGCTTTCTGACGTGTTTTATTAATCGATTCTTTTCTGTACATTCTTTGTTAGGAAATAATCCTGCGCATTGTACCACCTGAACACCAGACTGGGCTCCCTGTGTGAACGATCGTCTCGCAAATCAACACAAATCACCGCAATTGATCAGTCAGCGATACCTAGAGGAGAATCGCGAACAGTGAAGAGTAGGGAAAAATCGCCAGCACGTAATTTCCCAGGCACCACAGGCAAGTGAGCCGTTTCAGTAATAAAATGATTGTAAATAAACACAAATTGTATATGCTACCAAAGTTTTATTGTTTATTTACTCACTGCATGTTTGCCTAGTAATTTTCACGTAAATGACGATCAATTGCTCCTTACAACACACAATTTTCTCACCACACATGGACAAACGGTGTAAAAAATACAGAAGGATAGAATTAGAAATTCAGAAAAAACAGAAAATTTATTCGGCAAATAGAGAGTACATAACATTTCAAACTTTGGAAGGAAATAAAATTGTGTTTATTTACGAACATTTTATTAATGAAATGGCTCAAGTGCCTGCACTAGGCTACATATGTTGTAACCACTGGTGCCACCGACCAACGACAATGTGATAGAGCACTCAAACCTACTTTAAGATCATGGTGTAGCATAAATCATCTTTGTCATCACCCTATCCCTAGGGAATAACCATCACACTATCCTAACAGAGACCGGACGGAGTCCTCTCACGGAGGCCGGACACACCGCGCGGACCTGGCACCGTATTTATCGATCGCAAGCGGCCAGCGTAGAAAATCGCACAGTGTGAACTAGGCTTAACCCTAACTGTAACGTTATCCTGAGATAGTCGTGACATTCCAGGGACCCAAGTTAGGATTGATCCAACGTAAATCCAGATATTATTAATATGCTAAACCCATGAATTTTGTTGATTTTTGAAGAGAATGCTTTGCCAGTTTCTGATCATGTAATAATCTCATTTTCTTTAATATTAACAGAAAAGAAAGGTATCGAAGGAATCCATCCAGATTTCATTCCCCCCATGTTTAATGGTACATCAACACGTGGACAAAATCTAAAAAGTAATCCAGAAAGGTAAGATTTCATGTGTTCAAATAACACGTACAGTACATGTATTGATCTTGTATATAGCCCACCAAGCCATAATGTATATTTTTTTGTAGCCCACATTGAGATATGATATCGGCCTGATATATCGTACATGGAAGTTTTTAATTTAATAGCACATCAGATTTCATACTTGTTTTAGGAGTTCATGCTCTCTGACTAGCTGGGTACCAAACATATACACTGATAATTATAATCATTACAAGAACAGTATAGCCAAAGTTACCTACCCACATCTGAAAAGCACATTTTATAGAAACTGGTATCTCCTATAGTCTTATTGCTTTACCAATAGGTGCGTGAGGAGGAAAGGCAGAACACAATTCAACCATGACATAGCAAGCAAGAATACTGCAGCTTCAGCCTTGCTAATAATGCTAAACAAGCAGAGAGAAGAACAAGTTCTAGCTGAAGAGACAGAAGAATGTATGCACAATTACTGCAAAACAGCACCATTGTCCACCCAGACCCAAACTGCCCCTGTGCTAAACATTGCTCCAGAAGTTGGTTCTTCTGGAGAGGAGATAAAAGAGTGCATAACTAATTACGAAAAAGCATGTCTATTGTCTACTAAAACCCAGACTGACCCTGTGCCAAACTTTGCTACAGAAGGTGATTTTGTTGGAGAGTTAAAAACGTGCAAAAAAGCACGTCTAGTGTCTATCAAAACCCAGACTGACCTTGTGCCAAACTTTGCTTCAGAATGTCAGAGATTGCTAACTGAGAATATGGAACTGAAAGAGCAAATAAAGAAACATAAAGCCATCATAAAGAAGTACAGAAGTTCAGTATTTCGTGGGAAAAGCAAACCATGCATGTCTGATTGTTAGTGGAACACTACCATGCATGAGGACTATGCCATAAGCATACATGAAGGTGGTAGTGCCAACTGAATTAATTTTAGAGGCAAATTGTAAATGCGTTATGTATATATGTACTATATTATTGTAACAATGAACTTTCTCATTGCAATAGGAATAATGTCTAAATTGTTTACAGATTGAATAAGAATTTCTGTGTAGCAATTTATGTAACTGTATTAGATTTTGGATTTTTTAGATTTTGAAATTTATTTATGCTTTCAAATATTACATGGTTATATATTATGTCACAGCGATTTTTAAATAAACGCAGCGAGGGAGGGCGAGTTGAAACTCCATCTCTCTCCACAACACGGCACGCCGCAACTCCTGCCCGCAAAACCAACCACAATACAACTCGCACCGCACCCACCTCCACTCACCCCCACTCGCGACCCAGATTCCTATCAACTCCTGCAATAATTTGTCAGAGAAAAGCTTGTTCATTGAAATTGTATTATTTATGTATGTATATATATATATATATATATATATATATATATATATTATCAGAGTAGATAATAGAATATCTTATCTCTATTATCTCCTGATATTTACTTATACTACTACTGCACCTCATCCAGCCATTACATCAATGGAACCAACATTCACTCGCACATTTGCATCTAACTCCTATCCATTATCACCCACTATCCCACCCAGTCACACCACCATCACACCACGCAACACCCATGTAAGATCAAATAATCAAAAGTCAATAATTAGTTACGGGCATTTAAAATTTAATTAAGCTTTCGAGATGTAATCTCTTTATCAGGCAATTCAGCAAACGATTTTTTTTCAGATTCTAGATGCTTGACGGACTTGCGGCCCTGGTCATTGCGCGCAGCGCACAGCGAAGCCGCGCCCCAACAGCGAATACGCCGCCCCCTTATTGTCCACTTAGATAACTTAGACAGGGTCTGAAAACGACTCCGGCGAAAACTGGGCGGAATCCAACCGGACATTTCGCAATCGACGCCTAGAGCCATCTCCAAACGGCCCCTAAACATTTTTGGGGTGGCGGCCCTCAAGAGTAAGACGTAGTGGCTCCTACAAGAAACCCCAAGAAATGCTGTCAATCCAGCGACCACCGCTCGCTCGCTCATTGCCGCTAAGCGATGACGTGCTCCTGGCCGGTATAGCGTTATGTCTATCACAAGGTTTTAACGAAGACGCGTAACGGCGCTGTCCACGTGGGCTGGGCGCGGTCTAGATGCTATCTCCAAACCCGCCGCCGCGGCGCCTGGCTGCGTACGTGCATGTTTTTACCAACCTGACCCGCGCTGTCCCGTGGCGACGGCACGGTGCGTGCTGCGCGTGGCCGTGCCAATGATTTAACACGTAGCTAATCCTACGTAACACGTACATACTGGCCCCTGCTGCGCGCCTCCTGCAGCAGCAAACCAGCAGCAGCACCAAATACTGGTCCCTGCCGCAGCGCGGGCAGCAAAAGCAGCAGCAAGGAAATGCCCCCCCCCCCCAAGGCCGCCGTAGCTGAAGCTGGTGTATGTCTGACAAAAGCGCGCATGTTACGCTTCCCCTATACGGATTCGCGCGCCGACATACCGCCCCTCCTTCAGCAGCGCAATTCGTGTATAGGCGGCAGCGCGAGAGTGCTCAGACACACCGCCCGGCAGTGCCGCCTAGTCCCGGCGGAACGTGCGCGGCCTTAACCGCTCTCTGCGGTCGGGGACAACGCATGCTTTGCCGCAACGCCATCTTGTAGCCGCGGCTCTACTGGTAAAGAGATGTACATCCGAAAGCCTTGTTAATTAAATTTTAACGACCCCTAACACTATTTTTGACTTTGTTATACGCCATGTGGCTACGGTACGGTAGCCGTCCGGTCGTTGAAGCCGCCTTTTTGGCGTTGAGGGTTTAGAGCGTTAGGGTTAGGTTCTAGCCTCATCTAAACAATCTAAAGTGTGTGAATTTTATTTCCGCAAATGCGTTATTTCGAAATCTAGCGCCAACCGCCGCGCCATCTTTGTCTCGCTAGTATGAAAGCGAATGGACTTCCCGACCGTAGCCCTCGCAGACATTAAGATACCTTACCGTACCCGTAGCCACTGCCTTGACGATCTGGCAGCGGCCGTATACGCGCGAAGCCGCGAAACAGCGCACCGTTGGCGCCAGTTCAGACAACTCGCTCGCCCTTATTTAGAATTACTTTCACGAGGCATTCTTGTAGTGGGATAAAGCCGTATAATCGGTCAATTGAGCAGGTTTCCCGGCCGATGCAGAAGCCTTTCGACTCTGCACGTAGGCATGAGTAAAATCAATATACTCCGTTTTTGTTGCTTGTGCTCGGCGTGCGCCGTCCGTTTTCGTGGGCTTGAGAAAAATAATTTTCCCTTTTCGCTGATGTTATGCCTGACGATAATTTGGAAGGTCATCGCCACTCGCTAGACGGCGCAAACGATCCCATCTACCGTACCATTTCAAGTTTTTTTAAAAAAACGCCGGACGACTGCACTGACCTAACTGCCGCGCGGCTGCACAGTTTCGACACCTAACTGGTAACTCACTTACAGTGTAAGCCAACGATATTTGCCTGATGAAGGTCGAGCCGTCTACCCTGCTCGTCACTGCGCAATGAACTTTCTCGCATCCATTTACCGCTCCAATCTATGTCGATGTTTGCCATTATGATATGACGATTAAAAGATAATGTTAGACTGAGACTAGTCGCACAAGATAAGACTGTATTACATTCCACACCCTACGGCTACGAATTACTTGTATTACTACCAAGTACATGTTACAATAATTCCACTAGTTCTACTACTAGTAGTTAAGATACTACTAAGTTACCAGCACTACTAGTACTATACTATAACTACGAGGACCGCAGAAGCTAAACAGATAGTAATAGTAATATAATACATGACTAACTCTGTACTATAATTAACTTACTAATAAGACAATCCCTAACCATAAACCCTAACCTATTATTTTTGATTAAATATAAGATTTATATGATGTAAATGACAATTGTTTTATTCCCCCATGCCATACCATGGGCCCCATATAATAGGGGGACTCATGTTCCTCTATCCTTAACCACTAGTACTACTAATACTACGACTAGCAGAAACGCGCTTGCTAGGGTAGAATACCCCTAGCCTATACTGAGACACAGGCAACTTGAAGCGTTTCTAAATAAAATAATTTAACTAAATACGAATCTATTTAACTTACGTAAATTGTTAATGTTTCTAGTATAGGCCCTAGACTCTCTTTCAGAAGGTTCGAGGTGCACAGGCTATATATACAGACTAGGACTCGCTCCCACCCGATTAGCTTGAGGGACTAAGCTAGCCGAGAGGTCGCGAGAGAGTGCCCAGTCTAGTGGCTATAAGGCGCGGGCAGGCGGAGCACGCTTTCCAACTCCCGGACACGAGCCTCTGCCATATGACGTTGCAAAAACGTTTGCAGCGGTGGGGCGCAAGAGCGCTGTAGGTTTTCCTGCTTCGACAGCCGTTCCATTACTGGGCCAGGGTTCGCCGAATGTCAGAATTTTCGACAGTCTCCTGTGATTTCGCGTGACACAGCCTCGGTTTACGAGACAGATACTCGTTACAGTTTTAAACAACTGCACCCTGTTCACTCCCAAATTCTACCCTCTGTGTCCCCCACTAAAAGCGACTGTTCGCTGCAGCTATGGATCCGTGCGCGCCGGCCTCAATTCATTCGCGCTCACATGGATCCATAGCTGCCAGAGTGATACTGTGAGACGTTCCCGGCGCGGTGCGCACTTGCCGGAATTGCGCGCTCAAGATTCTGGCTTATGCGCTTGGGACAACACCTTCCTTTCGCAACGCTTCCATAAGTACGCCGTCTCATCCATCAGCCCTATATCTAACACATCCCGGCCAATGCGCTAGCACCGAAGTGTGGAGATAGGACACTACAAATTTACGAATGTCCGAGATCAATGAAATTTTTTGATTTCTCAATAAAAATAAGCACATCCCCCTACCCTACTTTGTGAGCTAACCTCCCCTGTATAGTTTTGCACTGTCGATGATATTTGACAGCCGTTAGGAGAGTAAATCCGTCGCCAGTAAAAAACTTAACCGTTCCCACACTCAATTGCGGTCATGGCGGGGCAAGTTCAGGCAATCCGCCAACCATGATATGACAATTCTAAACACAAGTCGCCGCCATTTTTCTAACTGTGGGAACGTTAATTTTTTAACAAATAGTGGATATATGCTATAGTACGCTGTAAAACATGATTGACAGTTCAACACAATAGACGCCGCGCCGAGACTAACAATCAAAATAAAGACCGTCGTATGCACATGGTATTTTAATGAAACATTCACTTTCTTTATCTAAAAAAGGTGCCGATTTGATAAAGTCCGTGGAAATGTGGTGTCCCTACCTTCTACACCTTGCGGGTGCTCGCATTGGGGATCGTGTTTAGAATAGTCCTGTGGTCTCATCTGTTTATTATTATGGCCGTGTTTCTCCTGCAACGGTACCTTGGGCGCGATTTTTTTTCTCTTAAAGTCACGTACTGACGGTAATGACGCCCTGATTGTAGCGTGTTTTTCTCTGGGGCGATAGTAATACACATTATCCAAAATTCAATTTTCAAGTATTCGCAGCAGGTAACGGTTTAGAGGCCTACGCGCCAATTAAGAATGGTCGGCAGGATCGAATCCGCATCCGTTTCTAATTATTTCCTGTTTTCTGTATTTTTCTATGCTTGACTGTTTAAGCATTTTTTTTTCAATTAACGCAATAGTACATGATTTATTTACAACATTTTAGGAATAACAACAAGTAATTTTAGGCAACAATTAAATTAAATTTCTATTAATTATAATAGGTTAGGGTTAGGAGTTAGTTAGGGTTTAGGTTAGTTAAGGGTAGGTTATCGTATATATCGTAAGAAATCTATAATATAAATAGCGTACAAAAGCAACGGTAGTTAGTATTCGCGCGATAGAGTGCGCTGACCTACCTACCACTTTTAAGAAAAAAAATTCGGGCGACGGTACCGTGCAGGAACACAGCCTTATACTTATATTTCAATTCAATTCAAATCAAATATTTATTCAATTCATTTATATATGTCCCTGTTTCCACGAAAACACCAGTGTAACGATCACGCACTCACGCACACGTATACAAAGTAAAATGTAGTGTACAATAGTAACAATATAACAATTTATGTACAATCAATGTACAATGTATATACAATCATGATACAATGTATCGGTTATCATTTGGGGAACTCCCAATCGCAACTTCTCGCCCCATCGGTCAATGCCCGAATACATTCGTTTTTCCGGAATGGGCCGAGGTTTGCCGAATGGCGACTCCGTTTACGGACGTGTGCTGCCATCGTGTGGTAGAGAAGAAAATAAAGGCTGCGTATCTTACTTTAGAATGCTCAGATGTTCGTGAATTGAAATGGCAGGCTATCCAGGAGGGTATCCTATGCCGGGGCAGGTATGCGATCATTGGGCTCTTATTTTAAGTGTTACCAACTAACCTTAAGTGCAGGGGTCGTCTATTTCTACTTTGATTAATTTAGCTCTGAAAATGTTAGAGTGATGTGCAGCAGTGCTATTAATTTTAATTTATAGTTCAATGAGTGACAGGGGCACCACCCAGCTCCTAAGACCTGAATAATTCTGTCCCTATAACCTTTTATATTTGGTGCGGGTTTATATGGGACATGAACGGGGTGCATTGAAAATTTCGTTGAGATCGCAGTGCAAAATCAATGCGCTGCGAATGCCGGCCCGTACGCCGCATTGCTGCGAAAAAAACCCTACCGGTTTCCCTTTCATCACGGATCTTACCTAGCTCTAAGTACATATGCCGCTTACATTAACTGCCGCTGGGCTATAGACCGACCATGGGGCAGCAATGACCAACTTATCCGCCAATGTATCTCGCTAAAAAACGTCCTGTGGTAGCAATTAATGCCTGCTTATCCGAAATGAATATGTCTGTAAGTTATAGGCCGCTACTAAAATTTGAACAACTCTAACATCGTTTGCAATGTAACTTGCCGGTAATTTCTTGTGACCACAAGCATTCGATTGCGAAACTTCAAACGGCCATTTCTGGCGCGCGCTGCACAGCGCAGTCAGCGGGCAGGAACTATGTTTCCGCATGTGGAGGGGTGCGCGGTTGGCGTGGTTGTGAAAAAAACATTGTTGTTGTTCAGTAAAAATAAGCGATCAAAAGAGATGTAATATAGTTTTGTCCATGGAAAATATGAACAAATTATCTATTATTAATTTTGGTTACTTGACAACAACAATGTTTTTTGTCAACAACCAACACAACCCGCCCACCCCTCCACATGCGGAAATACATAGTTCGGCGCGACTGGCTGTAGTAAGTGGTCCCGAGCATTCGAATGGTTGATCATAGCCCAGCGGCAGTTAATGTAAGACGCTATAGTACTAAAGCTAGACTTTACCTTGCTACAGATATGTGTATACATTCACTTCAATCGTTATTCACTTCTTAAAAGATTGTTTTTCAGACACCCTGCTTCATTTAACTTTCGTAAATAACATTCGCCATTTACAAACAATCAGACCAATCAGAGCGAGTCTATCAGCCCTCCTGCAGCGCCACAGATACAAGCGAGAGCACCCGGCGCGAGAGCACCCGGTGCGATATGATATGACTACTAGGCACTTAAGATATGACTACTAGGCACTTAAAAAAAAAAAACCTAACCCTAACCCTAACCCTAACCTTAACCCTAAAAAAAAAACCTTTCTGCCTTCTGGCAAGCGAGAACCAGGCTATTGTAACACTCGCTCTGATTGGTCTGATTGTTTGTAAATGGCGAATGTTATTTACGAAAGTTAAATGAAGCGGGGTGTCTGAAAAACAATCTTTTAAGAAGTGAATAACGATTGAAGTGAATGTATACACATATCTGTAGCAAGGTAAAGTCATGTAGAAGAAAACGGTAGGGTTTTTTTCGCGCCAATAGCGGCGTACGGGCCGCATTCGCAGCGCATGCATTTTGCATGCGATCTCACGAAATTTCAATGAACCCCCGTTCTGTCCCAATATAACTCTCACCAAAATATAAAAAAGGTTATATGGGACAGAATTATTCGGTCTAACCCAGCTCTAGTAGTACTAGTAGTACTACTACTAGACTACTACTAGTACTAGTACTAGTACTAGTAGTAGTACTATAGCCCGCGTACATTTCCCCTGCAGGGAATGTAAGCGGGGCCGCGGGCTATAGTACTAGAGCTAACCCAGTAGGCAGTACTACTACTACTACTACTAGTACTATTACTAAGTACTACTAATAGCTCTTGTACTTGTAGGCCTAACCATAGATCGAATTATTCTGTCCCATATAACCTTTTTTATATTTTGGTGAGGGTTATATTGGGACAGAACGGGGTTCATTGAAATTTCGTGAGATCGCATGCAAAATGCATGCGCTCGAATGCGGCCCGTACGCCGCTATTGGCGCGAAAAAAACCCTACCGTTTCCCTTCTACATGACTTTACCTTGCTACAGATATGTGTATACATTCACTTCAATCGTTACTCACTTCTTAAAAGATTGTTTTTCAGAAACCCACTTCATTCCACTTTCGTAAATAACATTCGCCATTTACAAACAATCAGACCAATCAGAGTGAGTCTATCAGCCCTCCTGCAGCGCCACAGATACAAGCGAGAACCAGGCTATTGTAACACTCGCTCTGATTGATCTGATTGTTTGAAAATGGTGAATGTTATTTACGAAAGTGGAATGAAGCGGGTTTCTGAAAAACAATCTTTTAAGAAGTGAGTAACGATTGAAGTGAATGTATACACATATCTGTAGCAAGGTAAAGTCATGTAGAAGGGAACGGTAGGGTTTTTTTCGCGCCAATAGCGGCGTACGGGCCGCATTCGCAGCTCATGCATTTTGCATGCGATCTCACGAAATTTCAATGAACCCCGTTCTGTCCCAATATAACCCTCACCAAAATATAAAAAAGGTTATATGGGACAGAATTATTCGGTCTAGCCTAACTATAGCCTGCGTACCAGCGGCAACCGTACGCGGGCTATAGTTACTAGAGCTAACCCAGTACAGTAGTTATAACAATAAGTCTTATAGTTATACCGCGTTCACACGGAAATGGTTTGGCTCGAGCTAAATGGGCTAAATTTGGTTCGGACCGGTTTGAGTCGGAGATACCCGGAGCGTTCACACGCAGTGGCGCCCGCAGATAGAAGCACTGGACTTGTTACTTTACAGTGCTTCCAGTAAATTTTGGGTTAAACAATTTTGTTCCTACATTTTGTTCCTCAGTGGAAATGAACAAACAACACCTTCAAGAACACCCCTGTCGATTTTAAAGGGCCTACCCCCACATTTACGAAAATGACATAGGTCTCATTCTGGACATCATCTCTATCCTTGAACCGACCCCCCTAGCATGCAGCGCGCCTACGGCGCCTGCTTATTATTATCACTGAGGATTTTATCCTTCTATGCTTCTACTTTCTTAAGACCTGTGGGCGCCAGTGTTTACACGTACGCAAGTGAATACTGTCTGTCAAATTCTCACAGAATTTTTATACTGTTTTGGACTTTATTTCGTCGAAGCACATGTTCGACGCTCGTGGCATCTACCGCTCTACCGATTTAGCTGGTGCTAAAATTTGGCTCGGGCCTGATCAGACGTTTTTGATGAGACCAAATTGGCTCGTGCTAACTCGGCACGGCCTCGAAAAACCGTCCGTGTGAACGCTCGGCTCGAGCCAAATTTGGTGCGGGCCTAATTAGTCTCGGGCAATAAACGTCCGTGTGAACACACCTTTAGTCTGACTCCTACTCCTCACTCCTAGTTTGCAGAACTCACTCCAAGTATAGCTTAGGCTACACACTGCAGGCTTCGCGCAGTGACAACTGTACCCGTCGCAACCAACCAGAACACGATCCCACAGAACTTGTGGCTGAAGTGGTACCAGGGACACATCGGCTAACTGACACTTTTAAACTGATATTAAAATGTGTTTACGAATTGCCAACCTCCATCAATAAAACTTAAAAGCACCCAAACCACATTGGTATCCGTCAATGCGAAAAATGGGCAGAGAATCAGAATGGACAAGTTGTTGGGTGTCAAGAATAACTGAATGCACGGGGAATGCACTATTGTTGCAAAATATTTTCAAGTTGATAATATGGCGACATCGATGTTGCCGTGCTCACAGTCACAGTGCAAATAGAATCATGGCTATGGGTGTGTCCCAGATGCCAATATAACTTTTCCCACATTTAGCCAAGAACTGTTAGTCGAGGTGTGCGATGTAAAAATTCCAATTAAAAACCAGTGTTATTCAATCTATACCAAGTCTATGAGTGTGCTCCCTTCAGAAGGAGGCTGACTGAGGTGAAATGGTGGCACTTATGTTATGTTAAAGCACTGTGAAACCATGAAACTTAATATGTTGACACAATGTTACTACTAATGCAGAGATTAAACTAAACACCAATGCTGTAGATAAAGGTTGTGGACCAGGTACGTGAGCTGGCAAAAAAGAGAAAGTATGTGGGGGTGGGGGAGTAAAGACGGGGGAAAATAAGGTGAATGAGATAGAGGTATGAAGGTAAGAGAAAGGCCGAGTAAGGATGGAAGGGGGGAGGAAAGACAAGGAGGTAAAGGTGGAGTAGAAGGAGGGTTGAGTAAGTGAGGGATGGGATAATATTAAAGGAGTAGTAGAGGGGGACACGAATGTAAAGGATGGGGAGAAGCCAAAGACAACAAAAGAAACATTAAAAGGGAAAAGCATCAATTAAGTAAAGAATGGAGAAACGGGTTCATAAACACTAGGAAATGTATATTACACAAGTTATAGCTAGTAATACAAGAAAAGAATGACATTCTTAGTATAACACACAGTACAGAACCCTTTCCAAAGATCCCCAATTCATAACACTTCCTAAAGTTACCGGGGTATATAAACTATAAGAAACTCGACCTAAGTATACATGCATCATGGAAGTCCCTAACATGCATAGGGCTGGAAATAAATTAATTTGTTTATTTAATTGGGTAAGTCATTTGGTTTTGTCTCATCATCGATGTGGTTTTCGTCATGTTTTTTTCTACAATTACACAGTTATTTTGTAGTTTTTTGCATGTGTGTGGCAGCCATGTCTGTCGCCACATGACGTCTGGTTAGAGTATACAATGGTAAATCTATATCCTAGTTCCAGTAAGATTTTAATAAGTTCTACCAATTATTCATGTTTTGTATATTAGCACCATGTTTTATATTGTTGCCTATTTCACAAGCTGAACAGCTAAAATGTGTTTTGCAAGCAATAATGTAGAAACTTTACCAATGTTTGTAGGAAGATGTTTTAATGAAATTAATTTTTAATTGAATGGCAGCAAGGAGCAGCCTACCATGGAGCTCCTGCAGGTTACCCACAACAACAACAACAACAACAACAACAACAACAACAACAGTATGCTCCACAGCAAGGCTATCCTGGCCAGCAACCAGGTAATGCATTAATGTATAGATTTATAAAATTAACGTAATCAAAACGAGTAATTAAAATTCGAATCGTGCATGTTTTGGAGAATATAGCTAAGTACAAAGGTTCTGAGACATTTTATCGTTACTCTAGACAGTTGCTGTTACTCAAGAAATAACAGTAGGTGTCGTAAAAGTGGGGAAAACACAAGATTATGTTCGAAATAATAACTTTAATATATAGATTGTTAAATTAATGATGGTGGGACGATTTAATTAGGGGGTGGGACGATACAGGTCACTCACGATACAATGCATACATCATAATACAGCTTTCACACAAAAATCAAGCACAGTTGCTTTCAGCGTTTGGGATGCATTCCTGCAGCAGTAAGGTCACCCTATTTGGTGTCGCAATTTTTTTGTTCAATTGTATTTTTTTTCAGTCATTCTTTTTTCTGCATTGTAGGAAAGGGTAAGTTGTATATATGGAAAAGTCGGCTGTGTTCAGTATTCTCTGTTGGTTATAAGTCATAAGTAACACTGCTAAGCTCGGATGGACGACATCACCATGGCGGATACGAAGAAACTTATACCCTGGCCGGCTTTAACACGCTTCACTATTGACACATTGCTTGAGCACACACTGCAATGCCGTTTTGCTTGTTGGCTGGTACCTGTTTAAACTGTAGGTTGACATTTCCTGTACATGCACTGCCGAGCAGGGTAAAATGCAGGATATAGTTCCTGTGCAGGTGTTTCCACTGGTAAAAGGGAACTGCTGGCCTGTTTCTTCACTAGTTACACTTCATCTTCCATTGTGGACTGAAGTTCAATATGAACGTTCCAACTGGAGGTATTGGTGTGCGGAATATAAGCGGCACATGTGTTTCTTGTGGTTTACAATTAATTGTTTTTAAATTTATTATAGTTAAAATGTTATTCTTGATGTGCGCAATGATTACAGTGTTAGCATCAGTCATTTATATTTTAACTTGTTATAAATAATGTAGCTATACTATGTATGATACAGTGTAAATGTGTACATGTAATACAGTGTATGTATATATAATTACATGTGTATTAATAGCATTTTAGAGCATGGTTATGCTCTGTACAAAGAAAAACTTTGGTACACGAGTAGCAATAGTCATGTCAGTAAAATGACAACACGTTGTGAGTTATCGTGGATGACATATTTATTATTATCATAATAAGCAATTAAGAGTGCAGAGTATAGACACTGAGAGTGTGCTCACTGTTTTTATTGCAGGAAGTTGGGGTGGCGCTCCACCAGGAATGGATCCACAGATCTACAGCTGGTTTGTTGCAGTGGATCAGGACAGGTCGGGTCAGATAAATTTACTAGAGCTACAGATGGCACTAAGAAGCAACAGCTGGTCGCAGTTCAGCTCGGAGACTTGTCGACTCTTGATAAGTGAGTGTGGTTGATTTTTACACAGCCATCCTCTAGTAGGATAGTCATTTCACATCGTGACTGTTTAAACTATTTAGCCACTAGCTTAAATCATTTTATGTGGCAGCTGACAATATAGTTCCTATAAGTCTGTGCACACAGTAGCCGTAATCATAATTAAATAAACATTAAAAAACAGTAATCATAAAATCGTTAGTACATGGGGTGAATATTATATTGCCAACTTGTTAGAATGTACATGCAAAATTAGAGTCCGATTATAAATAGTATTGGCAGTCCTAACGTGTTTTTCTACATGTTACAGCCTTGTTTGACAGAGATAACAGTGGAACAATAAATCTGAATGAGTTTCAATCACTGTGGAACTACATACAGCAATGGAAGCAGTGCTTTGACCGATACGACATGGACCGGTCTGGAAACATAGAGGCAGCTGAGCTAGCAAAAGGTAACACCTGATAATGTAATATAATTATAATATAATATAATATAATATAATACAAGAGCAATCGGAGATAGCAAGCCTCTACCACAGCTTAACAGTCCCCCCATACAATAGCTATCGATATAATTTGTAGTCGGGTTTAACGCGGCGGTGACACATCATAAATCCATACAGAGAGAGAAAGCGAAAGCGAAGCGAAGCGAAGCGGTTAGAGAGTAAACCGCTACACTACCATCAATGATGAGAAATCCTTCAAAAAGTTCCTGGGTCCAGATCTGGATCCGGATCACCACCAAAATCTAATCGATTGGTTCTCTGCCCAAGACCAACCCGTCCAAAAAATCTCATCAATATCCGTCCGTAACTTTTTGAGATGTCCCGTTGACAGACAAACAAACCAACAAACGGGGGCGAAAACATAATCTCCTTGGCGGAGGTAATAATATATAATATAATATAATATGTGACAGAACGACATGCATTGTATCAACGTGCGCGTGACACGTCCCCCCCCGCTGCTCTGTCTTGCAGTGCTCACCGACATGGGCTACAGGGTATCGCCGCAGATCGTCAACACGATCCTCTACAAGTACGATCAGCTGTACCGGCGCAGCCTCAAGTTTGACGACTTCATCAACGTCGCTGTGATGATGAAGAATTACACGGAAGCGTTCCGGCAGCGCGACGTGAACCAGACCGGCACCGTCCAGCTCGCCTACGACGACTTCCTCGGTATTGTGTTTGGCAGCAAACCGTGAGCGGCTTCGCGCGGCGGCAGTCTAAGGTGGACGTCGCAGGTGTGCGAAGTACGTGGAAGTTGGAGGCGAGGCGAGGCGTGGACGAACGCCAGTGGTCTGTCACGAACTACTACCTGCCATTTAAATTATTTCTAAAATTTTGCACCGATGACGACGAAATTTGATCATGATGAATGTTGAAATGTTTTTCAGAGTAGTTTGTCCCTTAAAAAAGCCGACCTTTGAATGTATTTGTATCTGACTGTATCTATGATGTGTTACTTGGGAGGTGCCTTTCCGAATCGCTCCATTTGGCTAAAAAAAATCTCAGAGGAATATTGCATGCAATTTTCTGCGTTTACAAGATTCTAAAATTTTACGCATTGGTGGACCCCTATTTATGGAGCGGCGCCCACCAAAAACCTGTGTATAAACAGATGCTTCATCTGTTCAGCTCTATCCAGTCAGTCCAGTGCAGACATCATCCACACACATGTCCTGGCCACCTCTATTTCTGAACTCTATATCTGCTTTATTATTAGTATGCATGTTACCATCCCACGTGTTGAGTTAAATGACGTTACTGTTTTAGTTGAAGCTAAATTTAAAAGTGAAATTTGTAGTATTCTGTCCTTCTCTTGTTCGGCTCTTGCAATGTTTTTTCTCTCCTAAATATTACTGGTGGCTATAGTTGTAGACTGAATGAGGTGACAGTTCTATCGAATTACCATGAACGTTAATATTGTAGCAAGTATGAGAATGTTTTAGCTCTCTCTGACTTGATCTTTTTCCGGTATATTCTGTAACAAATGAATATTGATTTCACCTTTAACAACCGTTTAAGTGTAGGTTATTTGAAATTCTTGGGACCAAGTGTCTTGGAATCCGAGATTTTGCGGGGTTTGGAATACCTGTAAACTATATACCTATATAATGTGGCAGTTCTTGGGAAGAGACCCAAGTCTGAGCAAAAAAAAAAAAATGTATATTTCATTTATACCTCACGTATATAGTCTGCTGGCAATTTATATGAAATATCTTTAATCAATTAGTGCACTAGTAAGTGATACAGTAACCAGCGGCGACGAGCGCGGAAGACATACTGATCCCAAGTCAGCCTTACCCAGAGCAAGCGAGATGTCACGCACATAACTGGGTGCTGATCCTTTCCAAGGCCTTGTAATAGAATTTTTCGAACGTCGCTTACATGCCGGTGTTCGTAAAAATATGCACATTGCAGAGCTTTTTTGAATTTAGAATAAAGGGGTAATTAATCTAGCTGTATATACAACTTCGTGACAAGTGTTACATGTATCGTGAGCAAGTACCGCTGTTGATTATTGGTTGGCATTTAATGTTATAGTTCATGCGTTATTTTATACAATTTATAGAATGGCTTGAATAACTTAATGTGTAATTGTATATTCATTTGTTTGGTTATTAGGACTCGTTAGTGGTACACTTTGCGTTCGTCAATCATGTCCGTACTCACAGCAACTGCAAGTGTGGAATTTTATGTTTATCAAACTATTCCTCGGTCTGAAAACGTATATTTAACATATCTCCATCGATCAAGCCCCATTATTGCTGACGTAGAGCACAGAATTATATAGAAATGTATAACTAAGGAACATCTAGTTAGATTTTTAAAACATTGCATTCATAAAATAAAAGTCCAATATACGGATTAGTGCCTTAATTGTAATTAATTGAACCCGAAATGAATCTAAAGTGCATGCACTTTAAAAAAAGTGCAAATCAACTGACTTTAGTGTAACTTTACACATGTTAAGATACTTTATGAAATAAATATTAAATTTTTGGCAGGAGAGCACACGTTTATGATTTTAATTAGTAAACAGATTGTACCAAACAAAATATTTTCTATTCACAATATCGTGTATACATATATATTTTTCATTTGTTTAGGTAACTTCACATTTAAAACTGCACATTACTGGAATGAAATTTCCTAGCAGATGACATACTAGTTTGGTATTTGATGTGCTGTCACATTTACTAAATAACTATTTACATTAAACTGCTTTGCTAATTAATGTCAAAATAGAATATATGTCATAAAATTAATGTTATATTAACTTTTATAATTAATATTTACATCCTGAATGTATCTATGATAGTTCTTGATCCGTTATAAACGACTTTCTCATTGCTGAATGAGAAATCAATGAGAACTACAAAGCTCCCCAATGATAAACAAGAGCATTGTCTAACCATTAATTAATTAATGGGAATGCTCTAACCTGTAACTCTTTGTCACCCTAACAAGTGCTATACAATTATCGTTTATCGGCAAGCTATTTCTATGTGGTCAGAAATGCTTACACACACCTTATGGCTTGCATCTTATTACAACGTGGCAACTAGTGCTTAAAATTTCAAAGCATTTTACGCACATACCTGCATCTTGGTTTGAGGGGGCTATTGGGTTCATTTCAAATTTAGTCTATTTGCTTTGTGTAATGTAAATGAGCCATCCATCCCCTTCTTTCTGGATTATGCAATCTGGCTCTATTCCGAATAATAAATAGACTATTCTCTAAAAATCTGGAAATTACAGAAACCAACACCATGTAAATACTGTAAAATCCTTTTTTCGTGGGGTTCTAATTTTCGTGGATTTCGTGGGTCCATCAATCCACGAATTTATGTACCCAACGAAATATTATGTACATATGTCAGTTATATCAGTCACATATATAGTTCAGGTTAGTAATCTGTTTGTTGGCATTGTTGTTGAAAAAAAATTCTTGGAAGGCTTGATCCACGAATTTAAGAACCCACGAACATGTATTTTTTACTGAAACCACGAAAATTGGAACCCACGAAAATAAGTGACTCTACAGTAACCTAAATATCTCTTCATAGGACTGTTCAATGTGGGTGCATGCTTGACGAATAAGGTTTATTTGCATACAGGATTAAGATTTCCTTCAAATCTACCCCCTCCCCAAAAAGCGAGATGGCAAATTGATACAGTATTAATAAACCCAATACTATTATGGCCTCTTCAACCATTTAGGAGTAGCTAATAGACACACGAAATTGGTACAATTAACATTCAATTAACGTACTAATGATCTTACAATCTGGGTTAGCTTGAGCATTTCCTTTATGTTGTCTGTTCATAGATGTATTCACAGTGTGCTTACCAGAGACCTACCTGCGTTAGAAAGATAAACATGCCCCCTAGATACTGATGCTAAGTCAGTCAAGCTAAACTATAACATTGTACGGTGACGCATGCCAAAATATGGACCCAGCAGCACTAAGCACTGTTTTTAGAAGGTCGTAGTGCGAAGCTGATTGGATACAGCTGCCTGTCAATCATGTCAAGCAGAAGATAGGATAACAAAAGATACCACAACCTAAACGGATGACAACAGGCGGTAGTGAGCAGCTGCCAGGTTGTTAGCATGCTGCAGGGGTGGACATATGAAACTCGTAGATACACTTCTCATCCTCGCTGACTGATAGCACCTTGTCTTCCACTCCACATTCGAACACAATCTACAAAACATGATTCATCACCGGTTACGAATAGATAACGAACGACAAAACGATATGTCTCTTTTGTTTCATGACTAGAGTAGATTGATGGAAGTATAGCGATGACAATTACATTATTCGGATGATTTTGACATCACTTCTTTCTTTTTATTCTTTTTGTGTGTGCATGTGAATCATTCACAGTTCATTACCTTGGATTGCCTCTCCTTGTTCATACATCCTGCTGTGCTGCCACGGAACATACTGAGCACCCACTTTCCCGTCTTCCTGTCTAGCTTCAAATTAGGAGAGTCTCCCAGGCTGAGCTTTCCATGGGTATTGGTGAGCTGATCTACGTGCTTGAACGGACACACGTTGTACACAAACCCACTGTGGTCAAACTTGAAGCACATTTTGCTGAGCTTGTGGTATTCACCTGCCCTGCCATATAGCTGAAAAGAAATGCAAATAATTAACTGCTCAGGAAATTATTGTATGATATAATATTAATATCTATACACTAATATATATCTAATATATACCCAGAGAGACCGAGTACAAGATGGCGTTGCGCAAAAGATGCGTTGTTCCCCGACCGCCGAGAGCGGTTAAGCCGCGCACTTCCGCGGGACTGGGCGCACGCGACCGCGGTGTGTCTCGCGACCTCGGTGTGTCGCAGCATCTCGCGCTGCCCGCTATACGAATTCGCGCGCCGAAGGAGGGCGGGCGCGCGAATCCGTATAGCGGGAAGCGTAACATCGCGCAGTTTTCGTCACACACCGGCTCGGCTATGGCGGCCTTCGGTGGGGGCATTTGCTGCTGCTGCTGCTGCTGCAGAGGGGTGTTGCTATCCCTCGGGCGTGGAGGGAGGTCACGTGATAACGTTGACGATGACGTTCAAAACGTTAAACCTAACGGTAACCCTCACTCCAACACTGCCAACACTAACCCTCACACTAAATATATATGTGTCGCCGCACTATATATAGGCATTGGGATCCACAAAAATTAATCTATGATGTGGGGACAGATATCATGATGCAAAAACCCTAACACTAATCCTAACCCTAACCCTAACCCTAATCCTAATCCTAACCCTAACCCTAACCTTAACCCTAACCCTGACCCTAACCCTAATCCTAACACTATCCTAACACTAGTGCTGCCACGTTGCGGTCACCTCCCTCCACGCCCGGGGGATAGCATTACCCATTATGCCGTGCCACTCTGAGGGCGTCACGTGTGTTGGAGCAGGGGTTCTGTTTGTTGGCCAGCAGTGCTTTCCTCTTGGTTTCCGTTACATGATGCATCTTTTGCCAGTGAGCCTCATACCAGTCAGCATTGCTACGCTCCTTCCTCCCGTATGCTGTGAAGGTCAACCTGTAGATAGTGTCACGAAGTTGAAGCCACTTGAAGTGAACGATGACGTCACCTGTAGAGAGGGTCTTCATTGCCTATTGGAAACTCCGACGGTCCACGAACTTTTGTATTCTTTCAGGGTCGTTTGTGCAGCAGGTGTTAATACGTAGACTGCCTTTGGTTTTGG